GGCTGGTGGGTTCAAACCACTGACCTTTCGGTTAGCTGCTGAGCACTTAACCACAGCGCCACCAGGGCTCCTAAACGCACAACATATGTGTCATTAAATCAGCGTATAACTACCCCAAAGGCTTTTAATAACATTGTGAATGACTTTTACAATTGGAGCAGAGAAAAGGTGAGATGGTATATTTTTAAACATTTAAAGTGTGACACCTGGCTATTTTATCCTTTCAAAAGAAGAGAGAAACAAAAGAAATGGAAACTCTCACTTTGGAATTACCCACAACAGGTATTAGGAAGTGTTGCCTCTGACAAGTGATAATAGTTTGCTTCGAGCAGTGTTTTATAGAGTTTAAAAATTGTTATATGGCTCTTTATATATATATATGAGATGGTTAGTAAAGAATAGGTAGGATTATAAAAAGTAGAAATCGAGGATTATAAAAAGTAGACATCTAAGAGCATATTATATAGGTGTGGGGGTTCAGATGTGAAGAAATACATAACCAAAAACACAATAGTGGGAAACATTTGTTAAGTATCTGTTGTACTTCACATTATGCTAGATAGGAGTATTGAGATGAATAAGATTCAGTTTTTGATCTGAAAGAGCTAAATCCTGGTGTAGAATTAATTTACATAGAGGTGGTAGTTGAAACAGTGAAAGCACATGAAATAACTGAGGAAAAAAGCATAAAGCAAAAAAAGAGATAGCAGGACAAATTCTTTAGTAATACCTATGTTTAGAAAATAAAGAAAATCTGATAAAGGAGAGAGAGTTGTATTATTGAGAAACATAGATAAGTAGAAGATCAAGGCAATACCATGACCTGGAGCTTAGAGTGAAGTGGGTTTTATTAAGGAAGAGGCACTCAGCAATGTGAGATCTATATAGACAAGGATGGGAATGGAATAGTAGAGAAAACATTAGTAGGATCTAATGAGTACGAAAACTCTGGTGACCTGACAGAGAAAATGGAAGGGAAGCCTGAAGTTGGCACAAATAATAAAGATTTAGAGGTGTGGGGAGAAAGTAGGCACAGCAGGTGTAAGGCTTTTCTTACAAACCCTGCACTGGAGAGGTGGTGATGGGATCAGAGGGGAGGAGATAGGTGGAATGGGGCGGTGGTAGAAGATTGGGAGGGAGGGATAAAGAGATCAGAGGATATGCTAAGAAATAAGGTGGAAATTATGATTAGAGAATGAAGCTTAAGAGTTTAAGGCCTTGGAGGTAGTAGAATTTTGTATGATCAAATCCAACATGTGACCTAAATGGAATCAAGACAGAATCAACAGCCAAGTGATTTAAAAAAAGGAGAAAAAGAAAAAAAATTAGAACCAGGGATTGATGAAAGAAATAAGACTAAAGGAAACAAAGAAGCATACTTGCAAATTTAAATGGAGATTCAGGACAGCTTACTGTTCTGATTGAAAGCCTTTGGAATCAGCCCCATAGACGTGCCTCTTATGCTCTTAATGAGAAGTAAACTGATTCATTCAATTAATATTTATTATATGTCTACTATGTATCAGTTACAGTTCTAGGTACTTGGGCTATATTTCTGAGTCCTATGATATTAATATAAATATTGTACTATTTAAATTTTATTCTATTTAAATCTTATACTGTTTAAATTATGTTAAAAACATGAATTCCCTAAGGTCAAGGATTATGTTTTATTCATCTTTATATGCCATTTACTAAGTATAGCACCTGATAATAGTTATGTTCAGGAAATGTTTGAATTACTGCAATTATTGAATAAATAACAGAAAATAATTCTCGGAGATTTTTACATGGAATTAGTATCTGTTATTAAGAAACTGATACAAAAACCGTACTAAAATTACATGTAGTGATAGAGCCTTTTAATGAGAAAGATAACCTTTTTTTTTTTTTTTTTTTAACATCACTGAGTTCTAGATTAATGCTATTAAGGCAAAATATAGTAAGAACTATTAAATGTAGTATTAAATTATTTCCTTTCTGTAGTATAACTTTTTTCATATAGCAGACGGAGTATGTAATGTGGATATTTTTGATAATCTATGGCATCAGTAGCATTACAATGTTGTCCTAGTCTTCTTTACTATATGAATACAAAGGTGAGTCTTTCCTTACCAGCAGGCCCTGTAGAGTCAGTTGTCTCTTGGGTGCTTCCTATGTTTTAATTATTTCAATCAAGAATTTTAGAAGAAAGAATACGAAAACAGAGCAGTGTGGCCTTGATTTGAACTACCATCTCTTCAATGTTGCCAGGCGTATATTTGGCTTTATATGTGTACAGGTCCATAATTTTTTTTTCCATTTGAATCTGTGGTGAATAAAGTTCATTTTTTTATTGAAATGTTCTACTCAGTTCCTTTTAGATGTCACTCTTTTCGTTTATTTAAATGTTTTTTGTTATCAAATTGTGTATGATTGGTTTTTAATTGTTGCTACAAGTACGATAACTTCATTTAGTTATTGCTCATGTTTTCGGTTCATGAGACTCCAAGGTTTAGCTCATCTACTTCTTTTATTTCATTTCAATAGTAAAATTCATGTTTTAACTATGCATCTAGTATCATTTACTACCGATTTGTTGCCGGTTATAGCAGTGTTGTTCTGAGTTTTCAACCCTTTGTGATTTCAATCTGTTCTCAATCTTTATAATATTTTATATATTTTTGATAGTTTTGAGTTTATCCAGTAAATTTTTTTGTATCAAACCACTGCTCCATATATATAGTTGACAAACATAATTTAAGCACTATTACTTTGTAAAATACAAATGATGAATGACTTTTAAAATCCCCAGTACTAGAATGCTCAATTCAATTTGGTTATCAAGAAAATTGATAAGGAGGAAATGTAACTGATCGTACTGTGTGTGTAAATATAACACTTGATTAAGCACATTTGAGTCAGAATGTTGAACTGATTTGTGAGAACTAAGATGTTATACATAATCACAAGTGAAAATAAACACTGGCTCTTAAGGTAACAAGCTCATTTTTTAAAAGAAACTAGCTGGTTTTTTGAGATTTGCCAAAAGATAAAATAAACACAGTCTTTCTGGTGGCTTATTACTAGATAAAGGCAGTAATATTTTGAGTAACCATCTTTATCCAATTTTATTTTGACTCAACTTAAGTGCTGATGCAGTTTAATACTCTGATAACACAAAAGTGCCAGATTTACCAGTTTTTTGTTTAGGCTTTGATGAACAAAAACAAGGATTGGCTGACAAAGACAAGACACCCAAGTGTGTCCCTTACTTCTCCCTCATAGTTTCTTTGTGGGCCTTCCGTGTAAAGACACTTTGAGGATCTCTGTGAGATCTAGTTATCGCTTTGTTGTAGTGGGAGCATTACCTTCAATCAGAACTTTTTACATTATAGGCCGATACAAGACACACTTAATGCAATTTATTTAAATGTTACTACTTAATAAAAAATATAGGACATTTCAGTAAAGAATATAGGGTTTATATCAGTCTCTGGGGGTACACTTTGATCTTTTTGAGGACTACCTCTTAAATTTCAGGAAACAAAAGAACAAAGAGTAGAGATTTGTTTTGATAACTAAATCTAAAACGCCCATTGCCATCAAGTCGATTACGCCCATTGCCATCAAGTCGATTCCAACTTGTAGCGACCCTATAGGACAGAGTAGAGCTGCCCCATAGGGTTTCCAAGGCTGTAAATCTTTATGGAAGCAGACTGCCTTACCTATCACTTGCTGAGTGGCTGGTGGGTTCAAACTACCAGCCTCACAGTCGGCAGCCAAGCACTTTAACCACTACACCACCAGGGTTCCTTGTTTGATAACTGAATGATAACAAAAAGTGTGCTTAGTTTTTACTTACATTTTTTAATTTATTCAAATATGTATTGTGTTAAAACTAATTGCAATGTGCAGTCAGGGCTGATGTGAACAGGAGATAATAAGGAAGTGTTATTCTGATTTTAACATAGAGCACAATATTTTTCACATATTGACTTTTTAAGATATTTCATTCTCATGAGCTCTTTGCTAAGTAATTGTATCCTGACTGATAGCCTGCATCTGGAATGTGGGGTTCTATATTTTGTTTTTATAGTTATCAAGCCGAGGAACCTTAATTATTTCCTGAAAGTAAAAGGAAGATTTCCAAGTATTAAAAAAAAAAAAAAAAAAAACTTCTGCTAAGTCCCTTCAAAGTATGAAAAATAAGTTGTATTGTCTTTATCATAGCACTCCAGCCTGGGGCTGTGACGCTTAGTACTACATTCTCTTTAGGGTAAAAGTGGAGATTGAAAAGTCACACTCATTTCAATTGAATATGGTCTTACTATCAAAGTTAAAAAAAAAAAAAAAAGATTTTTATATTGATAACCACCCATGAATGCATTTAGAAATATAACTTTATTCATTAAATGTTCGCTATCCTGTACATTGTTTTATTAAACTAGAAAATAATCACTTTGTGGTATCAACTCTTCTCACCTAAGGGGTGCTGGATAGAGAGCAGAGTTTATAGTCCATCATACCAAATCTGGGAACTCTTTGCCTAAAGTGTATGATAATTTGGGTTATGACTTGGTAAGAGATTTGGGACCTATGTCATTGGTTTTCAACCCTAGATTAATAGGAAGTTTTTATTTTCCTTATTAATAAAAAAGTTAATAATATATAATGTATTAATGTATGTGTATTAGTAGAAAATTGGCCTCACTTCTTCAGGTCAAAAACTATTTTAATTAGTGAGAATTATTACTTAAAACATCAATTCTCAAATCTTAGATTCAAAGTAAATATGGTTATACCATTCATTTTAATTAATAATTTTTAGAGTACTTTCATGTTTCTAGAAACATGTTATTCTGTAGAATTTGAAGAGCAGAAATGCAAAAGAAAAATGTAGAATAAAAATTTGATAGATAAGAAATTATTTTAAATTTTAACTAAGTATGAATGCTGAAGTCAGATAAATCTCATTTGTTTTTACAGTACAATTTTAAGTGTGTTTTTTTCCCTCCCAGGACATTTATTCAGAGCAGCTGGGGATCAACCGTTCAACCTGTCCACAGTGTCGAGTGCCTTCCCAATGGTCAGCCCCCCAGTCTTTGGTCTACATTCAGCCAGCTCAGGGCATTCAGAATTTGGTGGCTTGGGAACACTTGGTACACCCACAGCCTTAGCCGCACATCCCCAACTAGCATCTTTTCCAGGTAAACATCTGTTACAAACAGTGTTGAAGGAAAGGCGGAAAGCTTGAAAATGCTCAGGCAGAAATTTGTTTTTAAAATTGAAAAAACAGAACAGTTAATGCCTGGTTTAAAATTCTTGTGCAAGAATTGACTCAATCCTATTTTTCATGTACAAAAACAAAACAAGGTACACTATGTGTGCTAAGTAGCTATGTCGTTAATTATTCAGGTGTTTAAAGAAATAGGCATCTGTCGCAAAAGAGAATAACTGGACCAAGTTTTTCTCATGCTTTTTATTAAAGTATAATATAAAAGCAGAAAAGTGTACGTATTCTAAGTGTGCATCTAGATCAATTTTTCTGAGCTTTTATTGAAATTTAAAAAAATTAATTTATAGCGGGAAACTAAAGTCATTCTCATAATGAATATTTCTACACTTTTATTTCGGGCCCTCATTTCTCTGTACTTCATAAGGAAAATGAGCTTGACCTTAAATTTCTAAACGTTTTCATATTTGGTGAAAACAGAGTTGCACCTCTTACATGGCAAGAAAACGAGTATCATCCAAAATTCTACAGATTATGAGGATTCATGAGTTCAGTAAGACACCAATTAATGTTTAATTTAGATAAACATGCTGTACTTTGTCCTGGTTATATTATCTTGAAAGTCTAAACTTAAGTGTGTTTTCCATTGATTGATGTTACTTTCATCAATTTTAGTAAAGAATGTGTATGTTTTAGTGTACATAAAATAGTTTAAACTTTAGAGCATAGTTCTGGAGACAGATCTGAGTTGAAATCTGGCTCTGCTACTTCTTAGCTTGGTGACCTTGGACAAATTATCTAACCTCTCAGCCTCAGTTTTCTCATCTGAAAAATGAAGATGATAATAATAATAGTACTTGCTTTATTGGGTTCTTGTGAAGATGAAAGAAGATTAGCTGTGCTCACTGCCAAATACATTGTCTGGAACACATAATTAGTCCATAATTCATAATTATCATTATTATTTTTTTTTTGCCCACTTTTATTGTTACTGAATTGTCAAGTGCTTCTTTAAGAGGAAACAGTTATCTTGTTTATACACAGAAGGAACAGATGGTTAAATGTAGGTTTCAAGTACTATATCTTGAGTCATATTACTGCTTTAATTCAGTTGTCTGGAGGAGAGGAGGCAGTGGGAAAGGCTAATGGGAGTGGATAGTTAAAATGAAGTGTTTAAGATATAAAATTTGCTTTATATATATTAATAGGAATTTAGTCAGTGGATAGCATGGTTGCTTAGCAAGATGAGCATTCAGCAGATATTTGTTGAAATGTAAGCTTGCTGAATAAAAATCAAAATGGATAATAGTAATATAGTAACTGGTATTGAAAATATTTTTGATTGTTTTATGATAGTCTATTATGGTTTTGTTTTAGAGCATTTCTGAATCACAGTATGATTACTATACTATTGAGATCAAATACTTTCTGTACTGGCATGAGAGTTAAAAAGTAAAAAATTACTCCTCTGGACTTCAACAACTTTACTACTTCCACTGTTTGGAAACAAAATGTAATAATTTCCCCAGCCTACATAAACTATTTCCTCTTTCATTAATTGTACAAAGTTCTCTGAGCACCTAAGCCAGGATCTGAGAACTACACCAACATTCTAAGTGTCTTTATGTTATTTCTAGTTTTTAGAAAGAGATAGACAATTACAAGACAGAGTCTTTAGTGATAAAATTATGCCCATAACAGCATACTTGTTTTTTTGCCAAATAGATGGAGACTGTGCCTGTATTTAGAAGGTGCATTTTGTTTACATTGTAGAGTTGGGGCAGTAACTGTTAAACCTTAATCATCTGTATTTGGCTTTATGCGGAAAGGTAACAAAAAATACCAAACATTTGAAATCACCTAATAAATAAGGACACACAGGAAGACATTATTAGAAATTTTAAAAGAGGAATAGGTAATTTATTTTTAAATCTTATGTACTTCTAAACTATTCTGCTTTTTAGAAAATTAAATCAACAGATATAAAATCATTTAATGGATAGTAGTGTAGTAAAAATATTTCCATTTTACAGTGAAACAGGATTTCATGGTAGTTTCTTTTAAAATACTCATAATTTTAGATCATTATATTTTTATATTATCTTACCATAAATTTTTGTGAATTAATGACTCTATCAAGTATGAAAGATTTTAAAATTCTGCTGTATCTTCTAGGTTCAAATTCAGATTCAGTATAGCCTCTGATATATTAGACTATTTCAGTTGAGTATGATTAATGTTGCTACTATTCTGTTACTACCCTTGAATACACTTAGAAATTCATCATATGTTGATTTATGAAATCTTTATTTTGAACTAAGTTTCATTTTCCTAAATTTAAAAGTTAAATGAACTCATCACTCAAAAAAAAAATTATATTGCTTCCTCTAAAATCATATCTCAAATATTTCTAAAGTTTCTAATCAATAAGCCCTATCATTTTTATCTTTTTACTTGATCACTCTTATTTAGTGTTTTATTTTCCTCTCTGGTACAAGCTTATTTATAACATTTTCCCATTGTTTTCTCTAATCCCTGCCATGTGCTCATTTATTATTGACATTCTGAAATACATATATATGTTTTTTCCTGTTAGATTATGTCTAAAATATTTTAATCATATTACACCTGGTCATTTATAAAGTCTTTAAATTCAGTTGTAATGCTTTAATTACAGACTCTGTGTTAAATAATATGAATATCTTTGGGAAACCTCCATCCCTAATTATCAGTTATGTGGACCCTAGTTTTCAAATCTATCAATAGCAATAGATTCCAACTGTGTAGATACAAGCCGAACATACATACTTTTTTTCCCTGTCTAAATGCACTTCTTTTATCTAAACAGCGAAAAAATGATTGATGCTTTTGTATCATTATTCTTGGTTCAGTTATCATTCAGGCACTAGTGAATATACATTGGTGTCATTTCATAAGCAAAGCCTTCCTGCAGTGCAGAAGAATAGCTTTCGCTGTTTTCTGCTTATACTGTTTTTTCAGACCTTCCAGAGTGACAGCTACCATGAACATTTCACTTTTTTGTTGTTGTTGTTTTATACCGAATTTTGCCATTAGATAATGAAAGTGCAAAATACTATTTCTAGTGAAGGATATTCCTAGAAAAACTTTAAAGATAATATAATATACTGACAATCTTGAGTTTTTCCTGTATTATAGTGTTTTATATTTTTCTCTAATTTCCTTGTGCTTGTGACAGTCAATGAAAAATATGCCATAATTTTTGGTGAAAATTGAACTGAAAGATGATGACTAACTGGTAACCTCTAGTGGCTTAGCCAGTTGGAGAAGATTGTTTTCAAGATTTTAGATGGGACAGTACAAGACTCTCTTTTGGGTTATCTTCAAATCTCAATCTTCACCCTTACTTTAAGAATGTATTCTTTAAAATTTGGCTTATCTCCTTTTCTAAATGTTTTAAGTAAGAGCCACTCTTTCAATATCTAAATTGCATTTGTTGATTTGCTAACATTTAGTCATTTTACCTCAATAAAACAATCATTGTTATCCATTATTTATTAGAGGAAGTATTAAAAAATTTCAAGCTTTCTTCATTAATTTTAACAGAAGAAGCTTTATAAATCTTTCCTATTGTAATGTGGATTTGTTTGTTTTTGAAACCTTTGAGCATGTGTCATTTCTTATACTCAAAAAAAGACTTAACTGATTTTGCTATATGTATATTTTTGATTGACTATAGAATGTTTTCTTCTAGAAATGCATTTGAAATATACTTCATTACAGTAGTCTTTGCACTCTTATTTAGACCACCTGAATGATCACAGCCAGATATATATTGTATGTAATTTGAGGAAACCCTTAACAGAGATTGTAGATGTAACCTTAAAGTAGGTTTTAAAGTAGATTAGTATTCAGGCAGTCCTCCGGTTAGGAACTTCCGATTTACATACGACCCGTAGTTACAAACCAACCCCCATAAAGCCTGTTACATTAAAAATTTGAGGTACCTACAATGGTTTGTAATAACAAACAGATGCTAATTTGTGATGCACATCAAAACATTATTACTGTATTATTATGTTAAAGACGTTTTAGTATATCTGGAAGGGTTTCTTTAATGTTTTTATCCATAGAAAGGTACACTATATACTGCCTAATAAGACAAACATTGCTGTCTTCATTAGTATGTTGGTGAGTATGCCTGCCTGTCACATGGGAGACTGGGGTTCGAGTCCCCGACGGGGAGGCAGACGCCCTTTTGGAGCACTGGTGGCACTGTGGTTGTCCTTGGAAACCCTACGGGGCAGTTCTGCTGTGTCCTATAGGGTCACTATGAGTGGGAATGGACTTGACGGCAATGGGTTTTAAGACAAGCATTTGACTAACTGATATTAAGTACAAACTGTACCTCACTGTTCCGACTTAAGTACAGATTTGACTTAAAGATAGACGTAGGAATGGAACTTGTATACATTATGAGTCAAGTAGTCCTTTTATATTCCCAGTTTTCAGTTTTATTTTTAAAACCGTGGACTACCCTTGTCTTTTATAAGCTTGAACTCTAGAAAGCTGCTAAGTGAAGATCCTTGGATACTGTCTTGATGAAAGGAATGATACATGTATAAATTCTAATCAACCGTTTTAGAATTAGAATGATGATCAGAATTAAATATAATTCAGCAATTCTATTCCAAGATAAAACTTAAAATTTTTTTTCAGGACTAAAACATAGAAAGCAGTTGTTACATTAACTAGAAAATCAATGCAAATATTTTTGTTTCGTTTGTTTGGTTTTGAGGTGCAGAATGGTGGCGAACAGCAGATGTTCCTACTCGTACAGGAGCAACCTTCTTTCCACCATTACTGGGAATTCCACCACTGTTTGCTCCTCCAGCCCAGAATCATGATTCTTCTTCATTCCATTCAAGGACTTCAGGAAAAAGTAATCGAAATGGTCCTGAAAAAGGTATTCATATTAACATAAGTGAAGTACCTATAGATTTTCCATTCCAATACCTATTTTCAGTAGAGTTCAGACTTAATAACATTTGTATAGACTTGTGCTAGACACTTTTCCATTGTCTTGTTTAATTCTTACAATAGCTCTTTGAGATTTGGGGTATTCTCATTTTGCAGCCAAAGTGAAATAAGTTACTCAAGGAAACACTTGTATATTGATGTGGTACCACTAGGATTTGAACCCAGGCATTCTGACCCCCAGGTCTATTGCTTTTTCCTTTGTACTCCATTGCCCCCCTATATGCAATGCAACATAATATGTTAGTTCTTCAATTAAGCATTTATTTTATTAAAACTAATATCCTCAAAGTCTGTTTTTCTTTTAAGTGCTCATTAACAATTTTGGAATTGATAACTGCTATTAGAATATCATTTGAAAATTATATTAGCATTTTTAGATGATTTATTAGTATCTTTCTTTTCACTTGACTAGTAAGTATTTTGGAGAGTTTTCTCTCCACAATATTTTCATTTAATTATCTTTTTAATCATTTTTTTTTTTTAAGGTGTAAATGGGTCAATAAATGGAAACAGTACATCATCTGTATCTGGTATCAGCACATCTGTACTATCTACTACTGCTTCAGGTTCTACTGGACAAACTAAAACTATAAGCTCAGGTGGAGGAAATCGAAAATGTAACCAGGAACAAAGCAAAAACCAGCCTTTGGATCCTAGAGCTGACAAAATCAAAGATAAGGTAAGTCATCCTATGAAGAACAAATGTCTAACAGATGTTATATAAGTATTCAAACCACCAAAATCTATGGCTTAATTTCTTATGAATTAGCAACTTATGGTTTTGCAGCTGTATATTTTTTTGGTATTGTACTAATGTTATGTATTTTTTAAAATTAAAACTCTTAACACAAAATAAGGCAAATAGTAATTATAGCTAAAATTTATTGAGAACTTATTACATACCAGCTCTGCTCTAATTGCTTTGCATGTAATAACTATTTCAATCCTCTTTATATCCCTTATGAGGTGTAGGTATTATTATTGCAAATTGTGAAACAGAGCCCCAAAATAGTTAGTAAATGGCTAAGCAAGGATTTGAAGCCAGGCGAATTGACTCCAGAACCTAAGCTAAAAAAAAAAAAAAAACAGCAAAACTTTTTATTATGAAAAGGAAATTTTTAAATATACAAAAGTAGACACAATAGCATGACAAACTCATATACCCTTTGTCTTAGTCATCTAGTGCTGCTCTAACAGAAATACCACAAGTGGATGGCTTTACAAAGAGAAGTTTATTCTCTCACAGTCTGGTAGGCTACAAGTCCAAATTCAGGGCATCAGCTCCAGGGGAAGGCTTTCTCTCTGTTGGCTCTGGAGAAGGGTCCTTGTGATGCATCAGTCTTTTCTTTGGTCTGGGAGCATCTCAGCGTAGGAACCTCACAGGTCCAAAGGACATGCTTTGCTCCCGGCACTGCTTTCTTGGTAGTATGAGGTTCCCATGTGTCTCTGCTTGCTTGTCTCTTTTGTATCTCAAAAGAGATTGCATTAAGTCACTATCTAATCTTGTCAACCTCATCAGTATAACCTCATCACAGTGATAGAATTTACAACACATAAGGAGATCACATATAATCTCATCATAGTGATATAGAGTTTATAACACGTAAGGAAATCACATCAGATTACACGATCATACAACACTGGGAATCATGACCCAGCCAAGCTGACAGATATTTTTGGGGGACACAACTCAATCCATGACACTCTTCATTCAGCTTCAACAGTTATCATCTCATGGCCAATTTTATTTCATTCATATCTCTAGCTGTACAAGTTTCCAATGTATTACCTCTCAGTTCTAAATTCACCCTTTTCTCTGTTACCAGTTGACACAGTGTTTTGGAGGAACACTGCAAGAGGAAGGGGCTTCTGTTCCTGGTTCCAGTGTTTTCTTCTTGCTCTTACGCTGGAACTGCCAGTGAGTGACTTTCTCACCAGCTGGTGGCTTCTCTCCAGTGGTGTTCAGGAGACCCAGTACAGTGGTACATACTGTCTAGGGAGTTTCATTAACATCCCAGCAGGCAGCTTTGCAGTAAGTTTTGCTGGCATACCAGTGGGCAGTTTTCTGGCTGATTTTACTGACATGCCTGCTGGCAGATTCCCAAGAAGTTTTGTCAGTACCCTAGCAGGCAGTCTCCTGCATGCCAGTCTTAGCCTCTAGTACCTCAGTTAGCTTCTCTACTATCCAGTAGGGCCACAGCTGCATCCTCTTCAACAAAGTCTAAATCTCAGTCTTGGCTGAGTTGGAAGAGGGAGGATACAGGAGAAAAGCCTTCTTCCATGTTTGTCTTTATTTTGGTACTCTCCTTCAGTCCTGCAGGGAGTGGCTGTTCTCTAAATCTGCTATTCCTATATTCTTTAAAGGTCTCTTTACCCTCTTTGTAGTTAATACTCTGTTGTTATTGTTAGTTGCTGTCAAGTTGATTTCGACTCATGGTGACCCCACATATGCTTAGTAGAACTGCTCCATAGGGATTTCAAGGCTGTGACCTTTTGGAAGCAGATCGCCAGGCCTGTCTTTTGAGGTGCCTCTGGTTGGGTTCAAACCACCAGCCTCTCGGCTAATAGTTGAGCACTTAACCATTTGCACCACCCAGAGACTCCAAATACTCTGTTATTAGTTAATTATTTTTATGTTAAAATTTTCCTTTTCAGCGATAAAGGGTATCTATGCAAAACCAACAGCCAACATCATTCTTAATAAGAAAACTGCTGAAACTAATAGAAAGATTAGAACTCATATGCACTCCTGGTGGGATTATAAAATGGTGCAACCAACGATATGTAGCTTCCTTAAAAAGCTAGAAATAGACATACCATATGATCCATCAATCCCGCTCCTAAGAATATATCCTAGAGAAATAACAGCTGTCACACGAATAGACATATACACACCCATGTTCATTGCAGCGTTATTCACAATAGCAAAAAGAAGGAAACAACCTAAGTGCATATCAACAGATGAATGGATAAAAAAACTATGGTACATACATACAGTGGAATATTACACAACAATAAAGAACAATGACGAATCTGCGAAACATCTCACAACATGGATGAATCTGGAGGGCATTATGCTGAGTGAAATAAGTCAGTCACAAAAGGACAAATACTGTATGAGAACACTATCATAAAAACTCATAAAAAGATTTACACACAGAAAGAAATAATCTTTAATGGTTACAAGGGAGGGGAGAGAGGAGGAAAAAACACTAACTAGACAATAGATAAGTGGTAACTTTGGTGAAGGGTAAGACAGTACACAATACTGGGAAAGTCAGCACAACTTGACCAAGGCAGGATCATGGAAGCTCCATAGACACATCCAAACTCCCTGAGGAACCAAATTACTGGGCTGAGAGCTGGGGACCATAGTCTTAGGGAGCATCTAGCTCAGTTGGCATAACCTATTTTGTAAAGAAAATGTTCTGCATTCTACTTTGATGAGTAGCATCTGGGGTCTTAAAAGCTTCTGAGCAGCCATCTAAGGTACTTAAATGGTCTCACCCTGTCTGGAGCAAGGGAGAATGAAGAAAACCAAAGACATAGGGAAAAGATTTGTCCAAAGAACTAATGGACCACAACTACCACATCCTCTACCAGACTGAATCCAGCACAATTAAATGGTGCCCGGCTACCACCACCTACTACTCCAACAAAGATCACAAAAGAGGGTCCCGGACAGAGCTGGAGAAAAATGTAGAACAAAGTTTTAACTCACAGAAAAAGACCAGACTTACTGGTCTGACAGAGACTGGAGAAACCCCGAGATTATGGGCCCTGGATACTCTTTTAACTCAGTACTGAAGTCATTCCTGAGGTTCACCCTTCGGCCAAAGATTAGACAGGCCCATAAAACAAACAATAATAAACGTAGCTCAACCATGTATACAAGACTAGATGAGCACACCAGCCCAGGGCAAGGACGAGAAGGCAGGAGGGGACAGGAAAGCTGGACGAATGGAAATGGGGAACCCAAGATTGAGAAGAGGAGAGTGTTGACACGTTGCGGGGTTGGCAGCCAATGTCACAAAATAATATGTGTATTAATTGTTTAATGAGAAACTTATTTATTTTGTAAACCTTCATCTAAAGCACAATTTAAAAAAAATTCTCCTGTTCAAATTACTAGTATAGTTTCTGTTCCTGACTAGGCTCTGTCTGATATAGTATTGGTACCAAGGGTGGTACAGGTAGACATCATTATCATTAGAAATATTTCTATATGTATTTTTTAAAGTATGTGTCCATGCTTTTAACCCCTACAGTATCCTACCTCTTAGAAGTAGTGCTAAAATCTAGTTCAACTTATCAGACATGTGCAAGACTTTGGAGGCATACATATGAGATAGTCCCTATCCTTAGTTCTAATGAAGAACTTACATTGATATTCCTAAACAAAATCACTGTTGCTAAAATAATAACTATGACCAGGAACAGGTACTAAAAACTTACAGAAGCACCTTTTTAATGATGTAAGAGTCTCTGAATGATGTAAGGGTCAGATTCTGAGGAAACATAGGAGTCTATAGACAGAAAAGTGGAAATAATACTAGAGAGATATTGGCTGTCAAAGTGAGGGATACTAATGCAAATCAAAACCACAAGGAGGTATCACTTCACACCCACTTAAAAAAAAGAAAACAACAGGTGTTGGCAAGGATTTGGAGAAATTGCAATCCTCATCCATTGCTGGTGGGATTGTAAAATGGTACAGCTGCTGTGGAAAACATTTTGGTGGTTTCTTAAAAAGTTAAACATAGAATTACCATATTTTCATGCAAATAACACATGACTTCTGTGTTTGTTTGCAAACCACATCCTCTCCCTACGAGGTATTTTCATAAGCAACGCTAAGCCATTTTTTTTTTTTACATGTTGCTATAAAAAAAAAAATTTAGAATAACACACTTTACAAGAATACCTCACAGTGGGAGGGCATGGTTGGCAAACAAATATAGAAGGTGAGCGTTTTTTGCTTAAAAATACGGTACCATATGATCCAGCAATTCCCCGTGGGTATATACCCAAAAGAACTAAAAACAGGAACACAAACAGATGCTGGTGTACCAGTGCCCACCGCAGCACTGTTCACAATAGCCAAAACATGGAAATAGCCTAGATGTCCATCAACAGATAAATGAATAAATAAAATGTGGTACATATATACAATGGAACATTATTCTGCCATAAAGAGAAATAAAGTCCTGATACAACCACTTTGGAAATCTATTTGGCGCTTCCTTAAAAAGCTAGAAATATCCAGGGAAAAGGGCTAGAAGGCAGAAGGGGACAGGAAAGCTGGTGATAGGGAACCCAAGGTTGAGTAAGGATAGGTTGACATGTAGTGGGGTTCTTAACCATTGTCATAGGGCAATATGTGTACTAACTGTTTAATGAGAAACTATTTTGTTCTGTAAGCCTTCATCTAAAGTGAGAATAGCAGCACAACTGGAAGAACGTAATTTGATGTCACTGAATTGTACATGTAGAAATTTTTGAAATGGTGTATCTTTGGCTATGTATATTTTTACAAAAAAAAAAAGGTCCTCCAAGGCTGAGAAGGGAGCGTGTTGACATGTCGTGGGGTTGCTAACCAATGTCATAAAACAATATGTGTACTGACTGTTTAATGAGAAAATATTTGTTCTGTAAACCTTCACCTAAAGTACAACAACAACAGCAACAAAAAGCTAGAAATAGAAGTACCATATGATCCAGCAATCCCGTTCCTTAGACTATATCCTAGAGAAAGAAGAGACGTCACACGAATAGATATATGCACACCCATGTTCATTGCAGCACTGTTCATGATAGCAAAAAGATGGAAACAACCTAGGTGCCCATCAACTGACAGATGGATAAACAAATTATGATATATTCACACAATGGAATACTACACAACAATAAAGAACAATGATGAATCCGTGAAACATCTTACAATATGGAGGAATCTGGAAGGCATTATGCTGAGTGAATTTAGTCAGTCAGAAAAGGACAAATATTGTATAAGACCACTATTAAAAAACTCAAGAAAAGGTTTAAACACTGAAGAAAACATTCTTTTATGGTTACAGGAGTAGGGAGGGAGGGAGAGGGTTATTCACTAACTAGACAGTAGACAAGAATTATCTTCGGTGAAGGGAAGGACAGCACACACTACAGGGGAAGTCAGCACAACTGGACTAAACCAAAGCTAAGAAGTTTCCTGAATACAACCAGACACTTCGAGGGACAGAGTAGCAGGGGCGGGGGCCTGGGGACCATGCTTTCAGGATATCTAGGTCAATTGGTATAACAAAGTTTATTAAGAAAATGTTCCGCATCCCGCTTTGGTGAGTGGCATCTGGGGTCTTAAAAGCTAGCAAGTGGCCATCTAAGATGCATCAGTGGGTCCCAACTCACCTGGAGTAAAGGAGAATGAAGAACACCAAAGTCACAAGGAAAGTATTAGCCCAAGAGACAGAAAGGGCCACATAAACCAGAGCCAGCATCAGTCTGAGACCAGAAGAACTAGATGGTACCTGGCTAACACCAAAGACCACCCTGACAGGGAACACAACAGAGTGTCCCTGATGGAGTATGAGAAAAGTGGGGTGCAGAACTCAAATTCTAGTGAAAAGACCAGACTTAACGCTCTGACTGAGACTGGAGGATCCCCAGAAAGCGTGATCACTGGACTTTCTCTCAACCCAGAACTAAAACCATTCCCAAGGCCAACTCTTCAGACAAAGATTGGACTGGACTATGGGCCATAAAATTATACTCATGAAGAGTGTGCTTCTTAGCTCAAGTAGATACATGAGACTAAGTGGGCAGCTCCTGTCTGGAGGTGAGATGAGAAGGCAGAGAGGGTCAGGAGCTGGTTGAATGGACACAAAAAATCAGGAGTGGAAAGGAGTGTGCTGTCACAGTATAGGGAGAGCAATTAGGGTCACAGAAGAATGTACGTATAAATTTTTGTATGAGAGACTAACTTGAATTATAAACTTTCACTTAAAGTACAACAATTAAAAAAAAATAAAAGGCCTGATACATACTACATGAATGAACCTTGAAAATATTATGCTGAGTGAAATAGTCACAAATAATCAAATATTTTATGATCCCACTTATATGAAATATCTAGAATAGGCAAGTATAGAGACCAGAGTTTGTTAGTGGTTACCAGAGGCGGTCAGCAGGGGGAAAGAAGGACTCATTGCTTAGGGGACCCTGAGCTTCTATTAAGAGTGATAGAAAAATTTGGAAATGGATAGTGGTAATGGGGAGCCCTGGTGGCACAGTGGTTAAGAGCTCACTGCTGACCAAAAGGTCAGCAGTTCAAATCCACCAGCCATTCCTGGGAAACCCTATGGGGCAGTTCTACTCTGTCCTGTAGGGTGGCTATGAGTTGAAATCGGCTAGATAGCAACAGATTTTGTTTTTTTTTTGTTTTTTTAGTGGTAATAGTTGAACAACATGATGAATGTAATTAATGTCACTAAATTGTACATGTGAAAAATGTTGAATTGGCAAATATTTTGTTACATATATATTGACCACAATTTTAAAAAAACCTAAAGATAACAACAACAAAAATGAAAAAAAAAAAAAAAAGTGAGGAATACTGGAACTTAAGATTCCAGAAACATGGTATCTTTGGATAATACATGATCTGACATGAGTTTGTGGTATTGGGTGTTCAAGTGAAATGGAAATGAAGGCCATTGGAACTAAAGAAGAAAATTCTGTAAGTTTTTACCCACAAATTTTCAGTTTTAAGCTTTTTAGAAATTTCTTCATTAGTCTTTTCTATGCGTAATTTGAAAAAAATGTTCCTTAGCTAATTTTGATATCCCTCCTTGGCATGGGGGTGGGGGTGGGTATTTATTTCAGGTGTACTTTCTTGCAACTCACTAATTAAGTCCAGTTCCCTCATATAGTCTACATATATATTTAAAACAAATTCAGATATTTAAAATCAAATAATTAACCAAATTAAGTCTCAGGCTAAAATACACATTCAGCCTATTTAGAGGTTGCACAACTTGAAGAATGTAATCAGTGTCACTGAATTGTACATGTAGAAATTGTTGAATTGGTGTGTGTTTTGCTGTGTATATTTTCCAACAACAACAAAAGTAAATTTTTTTAAAAAAAACAGACTCTTTGCACACTGTCAAAGTAGACCACCTGCATTAGAATCACATTAAGTACTTGTAATGTGGATCCCTGTGCCCCATTTGGAAGCGCAACCCAGGAATATGCTGGTCCCAACAAGTTCTGCAAATGAATCTCACGTACCATAAAGCTTTAGAACCAAGATCTCTAGAGCCACTCCTGACAAGTGTAGACCCTTTTCTCATGCCATCTTTAAATAAAAAATCTACGCACAGATTACTTGAGCATTGAAATACTTGATTTTTCTCTGCTAAATTACCATAGCTCTCTCATCCCTTTCCTTTCTTAGCCCCTACTAAAACCAAAAGTTATAATTTCCGTTTAGATTCCTTATGATTCCGTAGTCTCACTACAGAGTCTTAGAAACCCACAACACATTTTGGTTGCAAAGAAGGAGGTATTTCTCTGCCAAATAAAAGGTAGGTTTAATATTGCTGTATTATTGTTGTTTGTCTTTAATCACCACCTTCTGGTCTTTTTTATCCTGTGATCCCCACACTATTTCAGTTCAGTTCCTCATCCCTCTTTGTTTTTATTTGAGTGAAGGAGATAGTTCAAGGAATGATGGTAACTATTAGTCTGCTTACTGAATTATGGTAGCTAATTTTTAGAGCAGATAACACGGAGTCATTGCAAGCAGAATGTAACAGCAGGAGCGCAGATCACTTTCCTCACTAATATGCATTTTATTTGACTTCGGTAAAATTCACAAGACACAAAGGAAAGAGTGTAAATTTGCAGTCTTTTAACGATGGCTTCAATTTGACTACCTCTGGAAGAAGAGTCCTAGTGGTGCAGTGGTTAAGAGCTTGGCTGCTAACCAGAAGGTCAGCAGTTCACGTCCACGAGCTGTTCCTTGGAGACCCTATGGAACAGTTCTACCCTGTCCTATAGGGTCGCTTTGAGTTGGAATCAACTCTACGGCAGCGGGTTTGGTTTTGGTTTTTAGAAGAGGGGTATTGATTATCTTTCATTCCTCAACCCAGTAGTCATGAAAGGTTGTATTTCATTAAGACTATAATGGAGAAACCACTTTTGTAATTTAGTGATGCTTTTTCTATATTTTGTTCTTTATTTTATCTATTAGCAAATGCTATTGAAAGGCTCCTAAGTAACTTTGGTTTATACTTAATCTTGTTGCTCTATCATTTCAACATTTCTCCTTTTCAATCTTCCTATTGGTAGAATTTTAACTTTTCCAGTGATGCATAATTATAACTCATCTCATGAGTTTTCCTCTTTTTATCTACTACTATTGTTCTTTAAACACAAAACTTACTTTTTATGTAGCCTAATGTCCCTTTCTGTTAGCTTTGGATTTATACTTCCCCGTAGAGTCTTATATGTTCCAGAAATTAATCTTTCTCTTCTATCGTATTTTTTATCTTTTCTGATATGAAATATAAAAATTAAAATCTTTGATCCTAGTTAAAGCAGTCTCCCCAAGTCTTACGCTAGCTATTTTAACTTCTCCACAACACTTATTGCTATGTGGAATTATTCCCCACTTCCACCACCACTAGAATGTACGTTTCTTGAAGGCAAGGCTCTGTCTTAGACACTGTTACAGCCCAGCATCTGGAATAGTGTTTGACATGTTACAGGTAAGTATTTGGCTACGATTCACTACCTGCATAACGAAGGAAGAATAAGGCTAAATATGTAACTTCAGTGTACGTAACCCTTATAATTGGAATTATTATTTTGTAAATTGCTCTTTTTAATCTGTTGTACATTTTAAAGCAAGGTAGTCAAAGGAGTAAATCTGTGTATATATTAATGTTGTTACTTCCAGTATGCTTTTTGCACGTGACAAGAGCTTGCATTTTGTTGTAGAGGAATTCCTGTCAGATCAGTTAATTTAATTTCATCAGTTTGTTGAAGAATTAGCCCTACAACATCTGACTTTTTCCTTTTTCTTAAAATAACAAATTGAGATTGTAAATATCATTTGAAAATTAAAACAGCATATGTCTTACTAGAACTTGAATTCTTTCTAAAAGTAAAATCTTGATAAAAATTTTGTCTTTTTTCAGAAACCAAGGAAGAAAACTATGGAAAGTTCTAGCAACAGTGATAGTGATTCAGGCACATCATCAGACACCTCAAGTGAAGGCATTAGTAGTAGTGATTCAGATGACTTAGAGGAAGATGAAGAGGAAGAAGATCAAAGTCTTGAAGAAAGTGAAGATGATGATTCTGATTCAGAGAGTGAAGCACAACACAAAAGTAACAACCAGGTATACGTAATTTCATTGACAGTATCCATTAACCGATTAATCTTGACTCACAAAAGTGATAAAAGTTTTAAAATTGAAATCGTTACATTTAGTTCTTATTTTTGCATAAGAAAGATAGGCGATGGGAAAACATTTTTAAAAGAAACATTTGGTATATTTTAATGAGCTTTATATATCTAAAGTCATTAGGAACACTTTTTAAAGTACGCTGTTTCCTTCAGATTTGACTGCTTGATGTTCTTCATTTTGTAGATATTAAGAAGTTGTATTTTAATTTTTATTTACAGGTGCTATTACATGGTATTTCAGACCCAAAAGCAGATGGACAGAAAGCAACTGAAAAAGCCCAGGAAAAAAGAATACACCAGCCATTACCTCTTGTGTCTGAATCCCAGACTCACTCATCATTCCAATCCCAGCAGAAGCAGCCTCAGGTTTTGTCACAGCAGCTTCCATTTATTTTCCAAAGCTCTCAGGCAAAGGAGGAATCTGTGAACAAACACACCAGTGTAATACAGTCTACGGGATTGGTGTCCAATGTGAAACCTTTATCTTTGGTAAATCAAGCCAAAAAGGAAACTTACATGAAACTCATAGTTCCTTCTCCTGATGTACTTAAAGCAGGGAATAAAAATACCTCTGAAGAATCTAGTCCTTTGACCAGTGAATTGCGATCCAAACGGGTGAGTTAAATTTATTTATAATAGAATTTTACTATTAGAAAAAGATAGCGCTTTTATATAGTCTAACAATACACAAGTTTAAATTAAATTCTACCCTAAATTTTAATCTTTCTTATTATCAGGAATAGAATATAAGCATCAGTCCACTGATTTTCTCTGATTTTTTATTTACGTACGCATTTGTTTAATGTATTTTTGGCAACCCAATCATGTCATTTTTTCTTTCTCTAGGTCTGGTAAGGCACTGCTCAGACATAGCAGGTATTATTATTATTGACATCACATTAATTGACTCTTCATAATTCAAATAAGCAAATTAGAAATTACATTGTTTAGGTTATTTTAATTATTTATTATTGTATATCTCATTTTAAGATAAATTAATTTACAGAGCCATACAAGAGTTATTTACATTGTAAAAGCTCCCATTCCTACCAGCAATGCAGAAGAGTTCCCAATCTCCCCACAGCCTCTCCAACATTTGTTATTTTCTGGTTTTTTCATTCGTGCCAGTAATGTGAGGGTGAAATGGTATCTCATTGTAGTTTTGATTTGCATTTCTCTAATGGCTAGTGATCGCAAGCATTTCCTCATGTGTCTGTTGGCCAACTGAGTGTCTTCTTTGGTGAAGTGTCTGTTACATCCTTTGCCCATTTTTTAATTGGATTATTTGTCTTTTTGTTGCAGAGATGTTGGATTTTCCTGTAGATTTTAGAGATTAGACCTTGTCTGATACGTCATAGCCAAAATTTTTTTCCCAGTCTGTAGATTCTCTTTTTACTCTTTTGATGAGGATAAATATTTAATTTTTAGAAGATCCCAGTTATCTAGCTTATCTTCTGATGTTTGTGTATTGTTAGTTACGGTTTATATTCTATTTATGCAATATATTAGGGCCCCTAGCATTGACCCTATTTTTTCTTCCATGATCTTTAGTTTTTTGGTTTTATTTTTAGGTCTTTGATCCATTTTGAGTTAGTTTTTGTGTATAGTGTGAGGTATGGGTCCTGTTTCATTTACAGATGGACATCTAGTTTTGCCAGTGCCATTTGTTAAAAAGATTGTCTTTTCCCTATTTAATGGACTTTGGGCCTTTGTCAAAGATCAGGTGACTGTAGGTGGATAGATTTACATCCGGGTTCTCAGTTCTGTTCCATTGGTCAATGTGTCTGTCGTTGTACCAGTACCAGCCTGTTTTGACTACCATAGCTGTATAGTAGGTTCTGAGGTCAGGTAGTGCAAGGCCTCCTACTTTGTTCTTCTTCAGTAATACTTTACTTATCCAGGGCCTCTTTCCTTCTCATATAAAGTTAATGATCAGTTCTTCCATCTCTTTAAAAAATGCTATTGGTATTTGGATTGAGATTGTGTTATATTTGTAGATTGCTTTGGATAGAATTGACATTTTCACAATACCTATCAATGAACATGGCATGTTTTTCCATTTTTGTAGGTCTCTTTTGGTTTCTTGCAGTAGTGTTTCATAGTTTTCTTTGTATAGGTCTTTTACATCCTCTTGTTAGATTTATTCCTAAATATTTTATTTTTTAGGAGCTATTATAAATGGTATTGCTTTCCTGATTTCCTTTCCATAGTTCTCTTTATTGATGTATGTGAATTCAACTGATTTTTGTATGTTTATCTTGTATCTTGCTACTGTGCTCAATCTTTCTATTAGTTCCAGTAGTTTTCCTGTGGAGTCTTTTGGGTTCTTTATGTATAGTATCATATCCACAAATAGGAATAGTTTTACTTCTTTGTTACCAATTTGGATGCCCTTTATTTCTTTTCTTGCCTTGTTGCTCTAGCTAGGACTTCCAGCACAATGTTAAATAGGAGTGGCAATAAACGGCATCCTTGTATTGTTCCTGTTCTGAGGTAGCATGTTTTCAGCCTCTCTCCATTGAGAATCATGTTGGATGCTGGTTTTGTATCTAAAACCTGTTGCTAATGAGTGATTTCAACTTGTAGTGACCTATAGGACAGAGTATAACTGCCCCCACAGTGTTTCCAAGGAGCAGCTGGTGGATTCGAACTGCTGACTTTTTGGTTAGCAGCCAAGTCTTAACCACTGCGCCACCAGGGCTGCCCTTTATTATCTTGAGGAATTTCCCTTCTATTCCTATTTTGTTGAGAATTTTTTTTTTTTTTAACCAGGAATGGGTGTTGTACTTTATCAAATGCCTTTTCTATGTCGATTGAGATGATCGTGTCTTTTCTTTTATTTATGTGGTGGATTATGTTGATTGATTTCCTGGCCTTGTTCTAACTGATGATATTGAGCTTCTCCATGGTCTCTTTCCACAAACGTAGTCTATTTGTTTCCTGTGTGTTCCATCTCGTGAGGTTCACATGTATACTTGCTGTTTATGTTGTTGAGAAAAGGTATTTGCAATGAATTAGTCATTGGTCTTGTTCTGTCATGCAATCTGTGCCGTCTTTTCTGTCACTAAGGCCATGTTTTCCAACTGCTGATCTTTCTTCTTTGTTTCCAACTTTCACTTTCTAATCACTAGTAATTATCAACGCATCTTGATTACATGTTTGATCAATTTCAGACTGCAGAAGTTGGTAAAAATCTTCAGTTTCTTCATCTTACTCGTTAGTGGGTGGTGTGTAAATTTGAATAATAGTCATACTAACTGGTCTTCCTTGTAGGCGTGTGGATATTATCCTGTCACTGACAGTGTACTTCAGGATAGATCTTGAAATGCTCTTCTTGGTGAATGCTATGCATTCCTCTTCAATCTGCCATTCCCGGCATAGTAGACCATAGGATTGTCTGATTCAGATGGCCAGTACCACTCCATTTCAGCTCACTAATGCCTAGGATGTTGATCTTTATATGTTCCATTTCATATTTGACGACTTCCAGTTTTCTTAGATTCATACTTCATACATTCCACGTTTATTAATGGTTGTTTGCATCTGGTTGTTCTCATTTTGAGTCATGCCACATCAGCAAATGAAGGTCCTGGAAGCTTGACTCCATCCACATCATGTAGGTCGTCTGCACTTTTAGGGAAACCCTCGTGGCGCAATGGTTAAGTATTCGGCTGCTAACCAAAAATTGGCAGTTCAAATCCACCAGCCGCTCCTTGGAAACCCTATGGGGCAGTTCTACTCTGTCCTATAGGGTCGCTATGAGTTGGAATCGACTTGATGGCAGCAAGGTTTTTTTTTTTTTCTTTTTTTTTTTTAATACTTTTAGGAGGCACTTCTTCCCTAGTTGTATTTTGAGTGCCTCCCCACCTGAGAGGCTAATCTTCCAGCACTATATCAGACAATGTTCCGCTGCTGTTCATAAGGTTTTCACTAGCCATTTTTTTTTAGAAGTAGATCGCCAGGTTCTTCTTCCTGATCTGTCTTAATCTGGAAGCTGTGCTGAAACGTGTCCACCATGGATGACCATGCTGGTATTTGAAATACCAGTGGCATAGCTTCCAGCGTCACAGCAACACACAAGCCACCACAGTAAGGCAAACTGACAGACAAGTGGTGGATTTTATAAATATATCTCTTTTTTTATATGACATCAATTTTGATTTATATGACAGACTTTTCCATATAGAATTTTACTTTATTTATTACAGTAATCTCATTTGTTTCATGACACCTGCTCTATGTGTGTATCTGCCTCCTTAACTAGTCTATAATTCCGGGATGTCGTTTAGTCATTGGATCCTTCAGTGTCTTTACATTGTAGATGCTTAATTCAAATCAGTATACACTAATTGGATATATAATTCATGGGTGGAATTTTATACATATTAATTAAATTTTTTTAAATTAAGTTTTGCCTAGAGGATTTTTTGTAGTCTGAAGCAACTCATGTGGGAGCTGGGGGAAGGAGAACTTAGAGGCAGGACAGAGTTTTGAACCTCTCTGTTTCCATACCCCTGTCCTTCAAATGGATATCTTAAAACATCAAGAAGTTTCCCTTACTAAATAGATAATAGATAAGTGGTAACTTTGGTAAAGGGTAAGACAGTACACGATACTGGGGAAGCCAGCACAGCTTGTACAAGGAAAGGTCATGGAAGCTCCATAGACACATCCAAATTCCCTGAGGGACCGAATTGCTGGGCATAGGGCTTTGGGGACCATGATCTCGGGGAACATCTAGCTCAATTGGCATAATATAGTTTATAAAGAAAGTGTTCTATATTCTGCCTTGGTTGAGTAGCATCTGGGGTCTTAAAAGCCTGTGAGCAGCCATCTAAGATACTCCACTGGTCTCATCCTTTTGGGAGCAAGGGAGAATGAAGAAAATAAGATACAAGGGAAAGATTAGTCCAGAGGACTAATGGACCACAACTACCACGGCCTCCACCAGACTGAGTCCATTACAACTAGATGGTGCCTGGCTACCACCACTGACTGCTCTGACAGGGATCACAACAGAGGGTCCCGGACAGAGCTGGAGAAAAATGTAGAACAAAATTCTAACTCACAGAAAGACCAGACTTACTGGCTTGACAGAGACTGGAGAAACCCCGAGAGTATGGCCCCCAGACACCCTTTTAGCCCAGTAATGAAGTCACTCCCAAGATTCATCCTTCAGGCAAAGATTAGACAGCCCCATAAAACAAAACAAGACTAATGGGGCACAACAGCCCAGGGACAAAGACTAGAAGGCAGAAGGGGACAGGAAAGCTGGTAATAGGGAACCCGAGGTTGAAAAGGGAGAGTGTTGACATGTCATGGGGTTGTTAACCAGTGTCATAAAGCAGTATGTGTATTGTTTAATGAGAAAGTATTTGTTCCATAAACCTTCATCTAAAGTACAATTAAAAAATTTTTTTAAAAAAGTTTTCCTGTTGTATAGGTCTCAATTTTCTCCTCACCCCTCTTCTTTTGTGTGATTATTAATTGCCATTGAGTCATCCCCCAACTCATGGTGACCACATGCACAATGGAACTAAACACTGCGTAGTCCTGTGCCGTCCCCATGATTGGTTGCAGATTAAACTGTTGGGATCCATAAGATTTTCATTGGATGATTTTTAGAAGTAGATTTCTAGGCCTTTCTTCCTAGTTCATCTTAGTTTGAAAGCTCTTCTGAAAACTGTTCAGCATCCTAGCAACATGCAAGCCTCCAGTGATAGATGGCTGGTGGCTACAGATGAGCTGCATTGACTGGGAATTGAACTAAGCTGTGTCACGTGGAAGGCGAGAATTACACCACTGAACCACCAATACCACCATTCTTTTTACATACCATATCTAATATCAGAAAGTCCATGTGTGCTATAAAATAGTAACTGATATTAGTCTTAAAATAAAATGCAGGAATCTTTGGTTGTTCTTGAAAACCTTTAGGTCTTAATAGATGAGAGAAGATTCTTCAGTGTTACAGGAACAATTACAGAAAATTAAAACATAAAACTAAAGGGAAGGTTTTTATTTTCATGCCCCTTTTGGTCCTGTGTTTTAGAAGAAAAATGTACTCTCTATAAAAAGTACAAAATATTTATATGAAATTTGTTATATTTAAGATCTTACAATATACTGATTTTTTCTTCTGAAAATTTAGATCTTATATAAAACCATTTTACTTAAATACTTATGTAAGTAATACTTATTGTATTAAATAAATACTATGACATTTATTTTAAAAGGTAAATGAAATGATTTAGTATAATTTCCAGATTTTATTCACTGAATAAACAGTAATTAAGCACTTAATCATTGTGAGACATTACCTTAGGTACAAATGTTATATTCCAACCTTTGTTTACAAAGAATTATCTTAATAATTTTCTGAACTAATAAAGATGTTAAATAAGATACAGAAGTTTATATAAGAAAATAAGTCACTTTATATGGCATTTTATCTTCATTTATACTTATAAAATTACCACAAATCTTTGCTGATTTGACGTTTAGGAGCCTGGATCTGATACTGAATTGTATTTCTGATTTTAATTTCGCAGCAGTCATTTTCATTCACAGTTTTATATCAGGAAATTCAATGTCTCTTCTATTAACTTAAAATATTTTCATAATTTTATTTTACTTTATTTTTATAGTTTATTTTAATCACATTAACTTAATGAAATTTATATAATTTTATTGTTTTCAAGGGAATTCTAATAACTCAATTATTTGTTGTTTCTTATTTACAGATGTGAATTTTATGGCTTAATGGCATTTACAAATACATTTTTATTTGTATTTGTAAATGTGTTATTATACTGTTTCCCATGTTAATGTATTAAAGGCACTTTAAAGTAGGTCCCACAGAATGCTGAGCCACCATTCCCACAAGCTTAGTATCTTAAATCTTTGCTTCAAGAAGTTCTTGCCCTAGAAATCAGTCATTCATTCAGCAAGCTACAGTTGTTTTTTGAGTACATGCCACATTCAAGGCTCTAAGCTAGGTTTTGGCAAGACATTAAAGATGAGTAAAATACAGTGCTCCTGCTCTTAAGAAACCTATCAAAGACAGACTTACTTCTTCAGAGGTTTAAGGCAGAGAAGCATGTATTACCTATGTTGTTGTTGTTAGGTGTTGTCAAGTTGATTTCAACCCATAGTGACCCCTTGTGACAGAGTAGAATGGCCTCATACGGTTTTCATGGTGTAATCTTTATGGAAGCAGATCACCAGGTCTTTCTCTTGCAGAGCTGCTTGTTGGGTTCAAACCGCCAACCTTTCAGTTAGCAGCCGAGGGCTTAACCATTGCACCATCAGGTCTTCTTATATTACCTATATTACTATATATACTACCTGTAGTACTATAAGTAGTATAGGGTAGAATATAAGAACATAAAGGAGTTCAAAGGATAGAGGCAAAGAGTGCTTCTCGCTCCCACTAGGCAAACATGGAAGACCTCTTGGATTGGGTCTTGAAGGATGAACAGGATTTCATCAGCTTAAAATTTATAAGAGGGGAACATTTCACACAGAGAAAATGTTTATAGTAAAATGTGGAGATAGTTAAAGTATGACATGCACAAGGCATGGCAAATTGTTCAGTTTGACTGGAAAGGTATGTTATTGCCTAATTGTAAAGTAATTTGAATATCAAAATAAAATGTTTGGATTTATTGAGAGGGGAGGCACTAACGGCTTTTAACCAAGGAGCTAATATAATAAAATAAGATGAAGCTGGCATTGGTTTGTAGTGATACTGAGAGTTGAGTGGGAAGGAATGATGGTATGCCTTTAATCTGAGTAATTAATATTTAATGAAAAAATTCAAAAGATACGACTTGGAAAAGAGAAAATTAAGAGATGTTTTTAGGTTCCAAGTTTTGATTATTGGGAGAATTGGAGCAACAGTCAAGAAGCATATATATTTCAAGGAAGAAAAATGAATTGAATTTTAAATATATTAGGTCTAGCCAAGATTCAACAATCAACTAGTTATTGCTGCCATTCCCTTCCATCACTTGTATTTCGTGATTTAAATTTGTATATGACCAGCTGTTTTCAGATACTGAAGGCAAATAAAAGCAATCTTTGTTGTTATTGTACATTATTGTTTTGCTGAACAATATTGTTTTGTTTTGTTCAACAGGAACAATATAAACAGACATTCCCAGCACAGTTGAAGAAACAGGAGTCATCTAGAAGCCTGAAGAAAGTTATTTCAGCTTTGTCAAATCCAAAAGCAACCTCTAGTTCACCAGCACATCCAAAACAAACATTAGAAAATAACCACCCTAATCCGTTCTTGACAAATGCACTTTTAGGTAATCACCAACCAAATGGAGTTATTCAAAGTGTCATTCAAGAAGCTCCTCTTGCACTTACTACCAAAACTAAAATACAGAGTAGGATTAATGAAAACATTGCTACTGCAAGCAGCACCCCTTTTTCCTCACCTGTAAATTTGAGCACAAGTGGGAGAAGAACCCCTGGCAATCAGACACCTGTAATGCCCTCTGCCTCTCCCATACTGCATAGTCAAGGGAAGGAAAAAGCAGTTAGCAATAATGTAAACACACTACAAACACAGCATCACCCTCATCCTGCAAAATCCTTAGTGGAACAGTTTAGAGGAACAGATTCAGACATTCCCAGTAGTAAAGATTCTGAAGATTCAAATGAGGATGAAGAAGAAGATGAAGAAGAAGATGAGGAAGATGATGAAGATGATGAATCTGATGACAGCCAATCAGGTTATTTTCTATTTTAAAAGTTAAGGTATTTCTCTAAATGCTATGTGAACCAAAACATTTTAAGGAGCTTCTTAATTCACAGACTTATAGTCATTGTCATTCACTGTGTTTCACACAGCTATGTGCATTTCTATAATGATCTGGTAAAGTACAGGAGTAATTTAAATTGGAAATCCTAAGTTAAATTAGCAGCTTTGTTACTCATTTGACATTAAACAAGTAATAAACTTTAAAGTGAATATAAATGATGCATGAATGAAGAAATGATTTCATCAACTTGGTTAATTTTTATTTCATTCAGGACTACTCATTTGTCCTTTTTTTAAATCTCTTTTGCTACTTGTTAAAATCTAAATGGTTAAATGTTAGAAATTTCAAACAAAGGTAAAATTATAGTCATGGTCATTTAGAAAGTACCTACAAACCTAAATTCTTATGAATGTTCATCCATAAGAGAGAACTGATTATATAACATCTGGAGTACTGCCTGATTTTATTTTGATTCACTTTCTAGGGGTATTTTTTCCCCTTAGTTTTTTCTTTCCTTTATCCTTTCCCTCTCCTTCCTGTTCCACAGAAGATTAAAAGCAGAAAATACAGGATAGCTTGAATTTTAAATGCATAGAAGAAATGCCTATTATAAAAGTTTGTGCATTTATTACTGGCCAGCCATAAACCCTACTGTAAATTTTCTAGCAGCCAGTATAAGTAGGAAAATATAATCAGTTATGCAATCTAAAATGTCTGTAAGGTAAAAACAAACTACTTGTTCAAGGTAAGAACAACTTGTCCTGGTAAAACTTTTTCCTGGGGTTCCCATAAATACAACTTTTCATGATATATAATGAAAATATAAGATAACTTCATAAACTATTTTTAGTTATGAATCCTCAAGTAAGCAGATAGCATCACATAAAACATAATTCCACAAAAGCCGTTGTTCTTGGAACCATTAGGATACAATCAAAGTATCAGCCCTCTGCTTATCATGCTTAATCCAGGAATAGATATTACATATCTGGAAGAGTGAGTGCATTGTATATTCTTTAGTTAATCTTCCCTAAAATTTGTATGGTGGTATGTGGTATGAATTTTAGCCCAGAAACTCAAATGTGCAAGAAATATTTTATTTGTGTTAAAGTTAATTTTCATCTAACATCTGCATCTCGAGATGTCAGGATGCTTTATCTTAGTTCTCCCTCCCAGGGTCCCAGTGTAATCTGGGATGCTTATGGTGCCCAGAAAAGAGGGAGAAAGGCCTCTAGTGTCTAACTTATTACAATAATAACCAGCATCCTCTTTGTCCAAGACTGCTGTGAACCAAGTTTTGGAAGTTGGGTAGCATTCTTTTTCTACCAGTATAAGTCATGCTGCTGCTTCTTTCCCGTGTAGATTACCCTTATGTAATTTCTTCAATGTATGTCTCTACAGAAGGCATACTTCATTAAACTGCCTGCCCAGGGACCCTTACCTAGCCCCCTTTCCTCCCCCCAGGGAAGTAGAGAGCCTGGGTCTTAGCCTGAAACTGGGGGAGAGTTAGGGATGGGAGGACTACATAGGTATAACAAGCTTAAATTAGTAAATCACTACATTATCCTATCATAATTGTTTCTGTAAGCCTAGTCTTTTGTGAAGCCTGGGAAGCCTGATGAAGTCTTACACCTAAATAGAAAAACTACAGCCAAAAAAGCCAAGAATCCCCCCAGAAAATTGTTTTCTTTTACTTCAAAGCCCAGATGAAAGGATAATGGTGACGCCAGACTTCTCTTCCTCATAATTGGCTTATTGAAGCCTATTAATCTGAGTAATCAGTTCTGTTCTCTCTATATGTTAGTTTCCCCCATTAAGTTAAAAGTGATTTTGAAGCCATTAAGCAGAACTCATGATGTGAATAAGCATCATCTGAGAACTGTTATATGATTAAAGTATTGAGTTAAACTGATACTTTCAATGAAGAATTTTGAGAATTTATAGTTTATATACATTGTACTCAAATAGCTTATGATAGTAATTTTTGCACTTATTCTTGGGGAAAGTTGCTCATTGGAGTTCTCAATCACAGATGCTGGTTCCTGAAGTATTCCATTTAGATACAAACTACAAAGCATTGGTGATTATCTAGTTATAATATACAATAATTCTTTTACTTCCCAGAATCAGATAGTAATTCAGAATCAGATACAGAAGGATCAGAAGAAGAAGATGATGATGATGATAAAGACCAAGATGAATCAGATAGTGATACTGAAGGAGAGAAAACTTCCATGAAACTGAATAAAACTGCTTCCTCTGTCAAAAGCCCTTCCATGAGTCTCTCAGCCCACTCAACACCTCGTAACCTTCACATAGCAAAAGCCCCAGGCTCTGCTCCTGCTGCCTTATGTTCTGAATCCCAGTCACCTGCTTTTCTTGGCACACCTTCTTCCACACTTACTTCAAGTCCACACTCTGGTACCTACACTTTATTTTTATTATTGTAAAGTAGTATTCAAATTATGGCAAGAATTTTTATTTATACAGTGTTCGAGATGCTCCAGTTGGAATCAAGTGTTATAGCTAAGTTTTAGGTTGGCTAAGAAAGGTCAGCATGTATTTTTATTCTCTGTGCTTCCAATTTAAGAACCTGATTCATGACAGCTCTTAATTTTGAATACTCACCTGCTTTTGTGTTCAGTTTGTGCTTCTAAAATGTAGAATTTTATAGACGTTTGGATTTTTATATAACACATGCCATGTCTTTTTTTTCTATTTGACCTTTTATAAACTTCTAGAGATCTTCATTAAAAGTTTCTACATTTAACATTCCAAAACTACTCTCTATTCTCATTCAATAGCTAACAAAAGAAAGATGTATAGTAAATTACTATGTTAACAGTTTCCTACATTTCACTCTCTTCTGGATAATTTCTAGTTTTGCTTTCATTTGCCACAAACTAGTATCCTACTAATGTAAGATGCATTTATTTGTATTTGTGAAACTTGATCATTGTCTATTAGAAATTTTACTTATAATCCTACCCTTTGTACTCTAGATTAATTAAAACACCTACTAATGTTTTTGACTGGATTTATATGGGCATATAAGTGGAAAGAGAAAACCCACATTTTCAAGAAAACAACTATAAGCAGACTTTCTGAAGCCTCCATCTACTATTTCCCTCCTACTTCTCTAGCTATTTCTTTAATAATTATATTAAAGAGGAGAAAAAAGCTATATATTTTTACCTTGGATTGTGTTTTCTTTAGAGAGAAAGGCTAGTTATTCAGACATTCAGACAAAACAAAAACCAAAACACCTCTGCCTTATACATGTTTTGTTGAAAAACATCTAAAGATACTGTGCTTGTTATAGAAATACACTAGATAATGCAAGTCACTAAATATTATTTTTCTAAAAAAGTTTCTAAACTATCCAAAAAATTGTCATCTATAATAATCTTTTATATTAACTGGTTGAATTTTCTTGAAGGCACTTCCAAAAGAAGAAGAGTAACAGATGAACGTGAACTACGTATTCCTTTGGAATATGGGTATGCAGATAAGGTTTCTCTTTTTGTTTTCCCCCCATATGTTTATGTATATTTGATTTCTTTTTCTCTACTATTAATAAAAGAAGTGATTATACTGCATGGTATTTATTAGCATGAAAGAGCCAGAGCAAAAGGCAAAGAAGTTGATACAACAGAAAACTAAAATTAAAGCTAACTGCTGTGCAGAGGTACGGTAGAGCTACAATGGGATCCTGCAGCCAAGTGGAATCTGACTGAAGAAGAACCAAGAACACATTATTTGGCAAAAGGCAGGAATATAGTTAAGAGTACTAGAGGTTTTTTTTTTTTTGAAGATAGAATTAAAGGACAGTGAAAGCCACTGTGGGCACAACTGAGGGACTCAAGCAGAATTTGGTTAAAATGGTTTAATTGGAGCTGACAGGTTTAAAACTGGAAGTGTATGAGCCCCAAAGAGCAGTGAGCCAAGTTTACTTTACTCTTCTCACTTAAAACTTTTCAGATTTAAAAAAATTATTATACATTGACTTACATTACTGCATATTTCTGACTACCTGAAGTAATACAAATTATGATTAAAAAAATTTAATGGTGTTTAATATTTTTAAATTTAATCTTTTTAGTAAATTACTTAGTTAAAGTAAATAATTTTGGTAGTAAATGTTTGTGGACTATGATTATGGGATTTTTTTTTTTATATTTCTTGTTTTCTAAAGAGCATATGTACTTTAATTTTTTTTAAACCTTATTAGAATTAAATATGTCATAACCCTTATTTCTGTTATCTATAGCTGGCAAAGAGAGACAAGAATAAGAAACTTTGGAGGGCGCCTTCAAGGAGAAGTAGCATATTATGCTCCATGTGGAAAGAAACTTAGGCAGTACCCTGAAGTAATAAAGGTACATATTTTTCACCAAATAATGTACATTTGATACCTATCAAGCATGCTTATGAAAAAAAATGTACACTCCTTCCTCAGATAAAGTCTTGTATGGGACTAATGTACTTAACCTAAATTGATCTCCTATAAATCTTTAGTCCCTTGATAGAATATGCAAAACATTAGTGTCCTCAAGAAAGCTATACATCAAAGCTGGGTTGTAATTATTAAAACCTGAAGTGGAAAAATATGTGATTTTTTCAGTATCTCAGCAGAAATGGAATAATGGATATCTCAAGGGACAATTTCAGCTTCAGTGCAAAAATAAGAGTGGGTGACTTCTATGAAGCCAGAGATGGACCGCAGGTATCCACTTTTTAAAAAGTACAGTCTTTGAACCAAAAAGTAGTACCATAACTTCAATGAAGTAAATTTCACTACACTCTGAAGCATTGCCTTTTGTTAGTTATTTGTAAAGCTATACATATAACTTTATGGTAAACACTCACTTAGGCCTCAATTTACTATGTTTCAGTAACAAGGAGCTTTGACATCATAGATGTCTTTTTCATATTCAGGTAAACAGTTTTCCTGCTAATTAATTCTATCGATGATTTTACAGTTTTATACAGGTATAAAAGTATCTGAATTTTCATGTGAAATACAGGAAAATGTTAGTTCCCTGAAAGGTTAAATAGGAAAATCATGTTATTATAAGTCAGTCCAAAAAGGATAAATATGCCTTAGTTCTTTGGAAGGTTCCTGTCCATTTGATTATGCCATGACATATGATGCGGTATTCACAAGTTTAGTGAATTTTTTTTGTTGTTGTTCCTTAAAATTAGGTAAATGAAATCTCTGCTTTTTGCAGAAGTTGAGTTTTTTAATATAATTATACGTTTCTGAATTTATCACCATACCTCCCTTTGAACTGTATATTGTGGGTTAAGTACATAACCTCAGCAGTCAGCACAAAGAATATACCACAGAAACCTCATTTCCCGTATATTTCCTTTAATGTTTTCCCTCTTTTACTAACTTGTATTCAGCTTGTCATCGTTATGTGCTGTCAAGTTGACCCCAACTCATACTACCAAATCCATTGCCGTTAAGTTGATTCTGACCCTATAGAACAGAGTAGAACTGCCCCATAGGATTTCCGAGGCTGAAATCTTTATGGAAGCAGATTGCCACATCTTTCCCCTGTGGAGTGCTGGCTGATGGGTTCCAACTTCGGACGTTTAGCAGCTGAGTGTTTTAACCATTGCACTACCAGGACTCCTTCCTGACTCATACTGCATATACTTATTATTCCTTCTAGCTTTATTGGCTCCATGGAAAGGATTTCTAGTTAAGAAGTGAGAAGACCTAGATCTTGGTAATCTATGAAATAGTTTTGATTTTGAACAACAAAAAGATAATACCCCCTTTTCCCTCAATTTCTTTATCTATCAAATAAACACAATAATAATTACACTTCCAGTCTCATGGGATTATAAACCAAAAACCAAACCAAAACCATTGCCATTGAGTCAATTCCGACTCATAGCGACTCTAAAGGACAGAGTAGAACTGCTCCATAGGGTTTCCAAGGAGCACCCGGTGAATTCGAACTGCTGACCTTTCGGTTAGCAGCCGAACTCTTAACCACTACATCACCAGGGTTTCCCACAGGATTATAGTAGAGTTAAAATGAGATTATATGCATAAAAATGTTTCAAAAAGATTAAAATGCTCAGCCAACTCAAGTTGATGTTTTCTTTTTTGATTGAACCTTTCTCTTTCTCCCCTTAAACCCATTACAATGTTCAAAAGAAATTTTTCCTGGTACTTGGTATTTTCTATTGTGAATAGGCAGGCTTTTCCATCCTGTCTTACCCTCTGATTTCATAGGTATAGAAATGTAAAAGGCCTTCCTTATTCTACAAGAGCTTTATTCTGAGAGCTCAGAAGATTAAGGGAATTTCCCAAGGTCACACAGCCTCAACAAGGCAGGTGAAGAGTTAGAACCCAAGGTTTCTGAGACTTTTTCTGCATACATCATAAACTCTTTTTTTCCATTGTTGTTCATGATTTTTTAAGGAACAAGTTATGTCCAAATTCATCTGTCTTTTTACTGGTAGTTCTAAAATGCCAAAATATATTTATCTGAGGCTTAACTTTTTTATGGAAATATATTCTAGAGTTTTTCTTTTATAAACTAAAAAAAAATTTTTTTTTTTCACCCAGATTAAAGCTGTCACCAAATAGATTCTCAGAATTTTAATGAAACACAGTGTTATTTTACATACTCCATATATACTGGATCAGCTTTTTAGTTCAAAATATGATCATTAAAAGGCAGTAATACTTCATATAAAAACTCTTCTCATTTTTTAATCTTTTGGTTGACATTATCAGACCCTTACTTTCTTATTTATGCCAAAGATATCTTTATTTTTGTAAGTTCAGTAAGCTTTTGTTTTGAGAGGAAAGCTAATTGCTGTTCAATACAGAAAGAATTTTTAGCTTTGTATCAGTGATAATTAGACTTAATCTATAAAGCCTCATTAGGCAGAGCAGAATATTCTTTGACATCCATTCACTTTCTATTAAACATAATCAGTTTTTTTCCAAATGCATATTGTCTTGTTGGGAGATCAATTCCAATCAAAGAGATGTGATGAATTATTAAATCCAGAGTATGTTAAGCTGCCAACATGCAGCTTATGCTAGGGGAAAATATTAGCAATTTTGAGAGCACTTTTCTTCAGTTAAAAAATTAGTGAGTTGGATTCGTTTCAGGTTGCTTTTAGGGGATAAACAGGTAAAGGTAAGTAATTTAAGAAAGTGCTTTAATTAATTAGAAATGCATATAGTTGTATAGCCATATATGTTTCTATATGAATAATGTGTATAAGCATATACTTAATTAGAAATGTAATTGTATAATAGTTTCTATGAAAATGAACAAAGATTCTGTATTTTTGTTACAGAGTTAACTGATGTGTAATTATTTTGATAGGCCTAAATTTTGCAGAATATGTAAAATACAGTTTGGGACAAAGATACTATTACCATGCAATGGTAATCCTTGTGTGTTTACAGTATGTCTACCTTTATACAAATTCTATGAATGATATGATGGCTATAAAACAACAAAGCTATGCATATTAAAAGGCTGGAAGAAAATGTGTAAAATTTCTAATAATGGATGTAATGGTTGGGTTACAAAGGATCATTTATTTTCTTTCTACTTTCTTGCATTTTTTACATTTTCTGAAATTTGTTTGTAGTACTTACATAATGTAGAAAACAATTTCCTATCCTTTGAAAGAGCCCTGGTTGTACAGTGGTTAAAGCGATCAACTGCTAACTGAAATGTGGGTAGTTGAAAACCGCCAGCGACTTTGTGGGAGAAAGATGTGGCAGTCTGCTTTGTTAGAGATTTACAGCCTCGGAAACCCTATGGGGTCGTTATGAGTCAGAATCAACTTGACAGCAGTGGGCTTGGTTTATCGTTTAAAAACAAATACTTCCACTCCATGTAACCCAATAAAGCTAAACATTCAGAGTTTTTCAAATGCATAGAGATTGTACAAAATGATTTTAAATGTTACAGCTACAGTTTTCCAAGCTACATGTATCTACTTTTGGTGATTGATAGCAAGTGAGGTTCATTAGTATTCCCTATCACTCCCCTAATAAAACATTTGGCTTGAAAAATATATTTTCTCCATCATATTTTTCTTTTTTTTTTTAAACTTACCAAAAAAGTGACCAATATTGGTTCTGTAAGTTCCAGTTTTACTTAAGACATTTCAAAAACTGCGACAGTGGTATTTAAAAGCTATACATTTTAAAGATGAAAGTTAGAAGATAATTTCTTGTCAAAGACATCTGCAGTGGAGAACCACAGTTATTTTGTTTAAGTTAAATCGTTTTTGACTAAAGATATTTCTGAGCTCAAGATAGAGATTATACATGTGTTTATTAATAGCAAACATTTATTAAAAACATTGGCTAAATTCGCTTAGTACAATCAGGTGAGAGATGTGAGATTCATATCTATTGAAATTTAAGTAAATTTGTTATTAACCGAAAGCAAATAATCTAATTATTATCTTTAAAATAAGAAATACAGAAAAGCCCTTAATTCAAGTACATAGACAGGGTTGACAAAAGAAATGTAAAAAAGCTTTCAATATATTTAATATCTTTTTATTTACTTCAGTCCACAAATGTGGTAAAAGATCGTTTGTAGAATCAGCTACCTGTCAGCATCTATCTGTCAGTAGTTAAGTATCTAATACTTCCTACCAGCTTCTATAAAAGCCAGGATTTTAGAGGTAATAAACTGCACGGAACAAAACCAACCGTAATACTCTTTATAGGCTCATTCTGTACTGGCTGGCTACTTTCTAATTAATTTCTGTTCACTATTTTAAGGCAGCGAAACCTCTCTGAAAAGGGTGTAAATAGATTTCTTAGTCTTCTGCTTCAGACTATAAAGACCTTGTTGAACCTAATATTTGTCGTTATTTTCATTTTATTTTGTTTTTGCTTGTCAGAATAATAGAAAGTAAGGTTGAACTACAAAGATTTTGATAAATACGTTGTTGTTCATTGGGTGAAGTTGAATTGATTTTTGACTCATAGCAACCCTATGTAACAGAGTAGAACAGCCCCATAGGGTTTTCTTGGCTATAATTTTTATGGAAGCAGATCACTAGGTCTTTCTCCCGTGGAGCTGGGTGAGTTCGAACTGCCAACCTTTCAGTTAACAAGTGAGTGCTTAACTGTTGTGCCACCAGGAGTCCTTTGATAAGTATAAAATAGGGTTAATTTTGTTTACTTAAATACAGTATTTAGGTAAAAGGTATTCACATTTTTCTTAGGGCTTATATTAAACATATGATGATCTACTTTGAAAAGTGTTTTTTTTTTTTTGTGAACTGTAGAGAACAGGACATTTAAGCAGAGATATTACAATTAAGCTTATTTTTCTTCAACCAGGAAGTCCACAAGCATTTAGATTATTGAATGTCTACTATATTCAGGCCAGAAAAGCAAAGAAAAGGAAAAAGTTAAAAGTGACTCTGAAAATGTTTCTTTTCTCTGATATTTTTATTTCTTTTTAAAAAAAATTCTTCCTTTTAATGTCATAAAGCCATGAGAAAACTAAAATGTTTGCCATTGTTATTGAGATGCCCTTTTTCTTAGTAACTTATTCAATAAATATTTGTGACAAATATTTAATATCCCAGGCAGTTTATTTTTCAGATAAATTTTCTGTAAAGGCATTTTCTATAAAGAAAATTTTGAACACATTTCACTACAGAAATGAAAATGAAAGCCTGACTTTGAGGAAGAACTAGTGTTAGTAG